CCTGGGTCTCCCAAAGTGCTGGGATTACAGGAGTAAGCCACCGCACCCAGCATAACTATTGTTATTAATGGCCTCATGATAAGGAGAGAAAATTATTGAGGTTCCTGTGAGCTCTCATTCCCTAGAATAAGGTAAATGGACACCAAATCGTTACAAGTAATCTAATAAACTTATATTCTATAAGAGAGAGATGGAAATCATGAAAATTCAAAGCCAAAACGAAGGCAGATGGTGTCAACCCAATGCAACCTTTTCCTGTCTAGGGGAGTTAGCATTGGGGTCACACCCGAATCCTATGAAAGCAAGTCTAACACACAGCCTCTTCCTCAATCTTAACAAAGGGCAGGTCCCAAAACATTTCTATGCTTTCCATCACCAACCCACTGGGCTCTCTAACTATAAGAACTATTAGTTAGGTTTCCAATTTAAAATGTTAGGAGAGAGCATATTTTAAATCAAATATACTCTCAGACTAAGACTCAACTTCCAAAACGATAAACAGGTTCAATTTTGGTGAGTAGAATACAGAAGAATTCAAATGGACTCCATTCAAGGTTCAAAAACAATCTCTCCAGAAATCAAAAAGTTGTCACCACCATATTCACATTACAGACCACACTTCACAGGTGGATATCATTTTCATATGTGCAAGAGGGCATCTGGACATATGTGTAAGGGAGCATCTGGCATTAGCTCTTTCAGGTTGTGTGGAAACATTCAACAAACAATCCAAAGAAGTCATTAAGAAGGAGAAAAATGTGACTGAGAAATTCGTTTGTGATGAAGACATACACTGGCTCTGCCACAATAGTGCATGTCTAAAAGATCCAACAGATAAACAGCACCTGAGTGGCCTCGAAGAATTCATGTACTTCCCTAAGCCTTCCATAACTTGGATAGATGGATGTACCTGTCCTTCTATGAGATACACTCAAGGAAAACTAAGCATATGCTAAAGGTTTGCATACACTGTCACTTGTTAGAGCCAGCCCTGAAATACAAATCATAGTCAATCTCCTGTCATGTAAATAACAAACTTCTTAATTTATCTAATTGTGAGAGCAGCCATTTACATATTGAGGTGTATTTCTTAAAACAAGGCAAAAGTAGAGCTTAAAAATTCATAAAATCTGACTCCTTCTCCAGTAACATATGACCAGACATTTTGAAGTTGTAGTGGTGCATTTCAAAAAGAAAAATAATAATTCAGGCCGAGTGCGGTGGCTCACGCCTGTAATCCCAGCGCTTTAGAGGCTGAGGCGGGTGGATCACTTGCGGCCAGGAGTTTGAGAACAGCCTGGCCAACATGGTGAAACCCATCTCTACCAAAAATACACAAATCAGCTGAGTGTCATGGTGCGTGCCTGTAATCCCAGCTCCTCGGGAGACTGAGGCAGGAGAATCGCTTGAACCCTGGAGATGGAGGTTGCAATGACAGAGCGAGACTCTGTCTCAGAAAAAAAAGAAAGAAAAGAAATGATAATTCCAACCCTTGAGGGTATCTGAGAACTCAGGCATTTTAATGGGTTCTCTGAACAAATATTTAAGGCACATAACAAGCTTTGACTTTTTTCAATAGCCTTTTGATTCTCCTTATGCTTATAGAAATGATAAACATTAATATCCGAAAGCTATTTGGGACTAAGAATGTGCTGACCTCAGTCCTTGCAAGGGAATGCAAACAAATGTATCTGTGGGTGACAGCAGCAGCTTTGCCTACAATGAATGATACAGAGATTGCCAAACACCGATTATTCCCCAGCTCCAGTTAAATATACAGAAAACAACAAGTAGTAACATTTTCCAAAATCAAGAACACAGAAAATTTTGCAAAGGGAACCCCAAACTGGGCTTTAGTTTTACCAGCAACCAACTCATAACTGAAGCACAACAATAGCAATAAAATACCAGTATTTCCCATGTTGTATGGGCATCTTTGCTTTCAAAATGCAGTTACAATCTTTGCTACATCAGTAAGAAAATCTGGGTAGCCATAAAAAGGTTTCTCACACAAACCTAAAAAGAGCCTTAAGGTTCATTACGGATCCATTACGCAATGGCATTAAAGCACTGAACACTTACAGCTACTGCCTACCACCCACCATTTGTAATTCCCAGCCAAGTGGCCAATAATTCAAGGGACAGATGGACCATGAGATTTCAAATGGACTGACCTGAACTCTCGTGTTTAAAGAAGACAGGTTGAATTTGCCATTCAAATTGCAAATGATTCATCCTTCCCTCCAGTAGTACTTACACTCCTTGGTTATTTTTGCCAGCACCGTATCTACCTTTCTACTCTCAGAGAGATGCCCTTACCTGTGGTGGAGCAGCTGTACTGTGGATACTGTGTGAAAGCAATAGCCCTTTCTAGGCCATCTCTCTCCATCTCCTCAATTGCTTCTTCTGTTAAAGGATGGACGTACCGAAATCCAATATAGTATTTGTGAGGGGCTATTAGGAAGCACACGTGGAAAGGAGAAAGTGTTAATCTTTATATAGATTCCTCAGAGTCACCGAACATAATGCAATGCCCAGAACAAAGAACAGTTCATGTAATTTCCTATGGCACTGACGGTGGAGGCAAGTTTAGCATATTCCTTGGATCGTACCCACTCTTCAGCTGGTATGTGGACTTTTAATCACAATTTTCTGGGATCAGCACCCCACCCACACATCTTTACTGCACAGTGGTTTTTAAAACTCAAACTTCTCTTCCTAATTCTCTGTTCTTGGCTGGCCTAAGAAAGTCTCAAGAGAAAGGAGGAAAAAACAACACTGATTCTAAAATATAACTTCCTCTTGCATACCAGATACTATGGTAGACACTGGGCATTATTTTTTAATTTTTTTTTTTTTTTTTTTTT